CATTGGGTTCCTGTGCGCCCCACACACTGCCTCCCCTTCGGGGCCCTGGGCTGCAGAACCCATCCATGATGTTGCCGTGCCCCTGGTTCTGGTAGCACTGGGGCCCTCCAGGCTGGGCTGAGCAGGGGCCCCCCACCAGTGTGTACCCCAGCACCAGCGGGAGTGGGCCTGGGCAGGGGGACAGGAATGACACCCAAGGGGACCTGCTCCAGCCTCCTCCTGTCCCCTGGGGGTTCTTGTTTTCCTTGGCTGAGGGAAGTGGCCTCTCCCAGCTGAAACCTGGGGTCAGGCTGGGCATAAGAGGAAAGGGGAGTGAGCAGGACCTCAGACCTTGAGAATCCTGAGTGGGGGGGGACAGGCTTTGCCTATGACGTGCCTGGGAGCTGTCTGGGGGCCCTCCTGGGGAGCCAGTCTCACAGGTTGTTGTGTGGGACTCAACGTGGGGCAGTGTCCTGGCCAGGATGAGGAAGGCCATCACCCCAGGGTCTGCGGGAGGCACATGCAGGCTAAACTCTTGCCCGCCTGGCGCCCAGATCCCCTGCAGACAGAGTCCCTCAGCCTTGGCCAAGACCTGAAGTCCGACTGCTATCCCTGGGACTTCCCTGCCAGGCGGGCAACCCCGCTTACAGGCCATCCCCACCCCCTCCATCTGCTTCCATCCGAGCTACAGCCACCTTGTCCTGGTGCCCTGGTTGAGGGGGGAAGCTGCCCTTGGACCCGCGTCGGAGCCGCCCCGCGCCCTCTGCTGGCCGTTGTCGGAAGTGCAGCCTGGCGGGAGCAGTGCCTTTCCCTGGAGATGGGACCCAGGGCAGCACCGCTGGAAACGGGGGGCGGTAACTCATGGAGGGGTCCCCCACTGTCCACTGACAACGGCAGTAGTAGCTGCGGACTATGCGGACTCAAGAGAGTCCCAGCCCATGTCAGCACCAGGAGCCAAAACGGAGTCAAGGGCTTGGTGCGGGGGCCAGTGGGAGGCAGGCCTGGGGAGCCCATCTGGCAAGGGGGGCAGGAAGGCGCCCACTCCGGGACTGTGCCTGGGCCTGCAGGGGGTCTCCAGCCAGAGAGGGTGGGTGCGATGGGACGCACACCCTCGAAGGGCTGAGTGCCAGGCCGGCCCTGGGGGCCCGCGCTGCCCACACGGACTAGATGAAGGTGGAATCCAGAGGCCCCCCGTCCTGTTGGCTCAGGGCGCGGGCCTCAAACAGCTGCTTAATGAGCGCCGACTTCTCTTGCTCCAGCTGCGTGATGCGCTCACTCTTCTCGGTCACCTCCTGGGCAGGTGCGCAGTTGGTCAAGGCCTGCGAATCCCCATCCCCGCACCCCTCCCGGCTGCCTTACCCGGATGAGGAGTCACCCACCCACACCCCTCCCGCGCCTGCCCTACCTGAGTGAGGAGTCGGTTCTGCTCCTTCAGCATGAGGATGGTCTGCTGCTGCCAGCCCAGGGGTGAAGTGGACGTCAGGGCAGGGCAGGGGGGCCCGGAGGAGGACGAGGGCAGGACCTGCGGGAGGGCAGGATTAGGCAGGCCTGGATGAGGGCTGGGAAGCACTAAACTGGCCTGGGCCCCAGCGTGGGCGTGGGGGTTTGGGATACACTCACCCGACTGGCACAGGCTGCCGCCAGCAGCTCCCCCAGGCACCGGGCCACCTCCTGTACCTTGGGCAGTAGCCGCCCCAGTGGGCGGGGGCTACCTGCAGCCCCACAGTCCTGGGAAGAAAGCAGAGGACGAGTGGTCAGAGAAGAGGGCCAGCCAGGGCCAGCATGGTGCCTTGACAGGGGTTGCCACAGGTGGCTCTCCTGCCTCCTGATGCTGCAGAGAGCCCAGAGGGATCCCAGGGGCATTGCTGACGTGGGATGGGAGGTCTGCCCAAGGCGCCTTAGGCCCTAGGAGTGGGGCAGCCACGGGGGGAAAAAGGGATGTCCCAGCACCCTGGGTGCAATTGACAGCCACTGTGTCCAGGAATAGGGGCAGCCATAATGCCCAGGGGTGCCTGGGGTTAGCTGGGGTCTCCAAGTGTGGGGACCTGGGGACAGGGCGGTGGCACTCACGGCGCTGGCTCTGCTCTGGCCCAGGCGGCGCTGGCGCTCCTGCACTCGTTGCAGCTGCTGCTGGTACCAGTCACGGCCCCGTGCCATCATCTCCAAACCCTGCAGCAGCACCTCCTTCTCCTGCTCCAGCTCCTTCATCTGCTTCAGCTGCAACACGGGCATGTACATGGAATGCCTGGCCCCAGTGAGCACGCACACGTCCATGCATGCATGAGCTTGCCTGTGGGTGGGCACCAGAGTCACAGGCACAAATGCAGCAGCACATGTACACGTTTGCAAACACAGGCACGGACGCATGCTTCTGAGGACACCTGCGTGTGTGAGCCCCGTAGGCCGGTTTGGAGCAGGAACCCCGTGCCTCCTGTTGAGGGGTCTTGGCTCTTCTTAGCCCCTCCACTCAGGCTTCCCTGGGGGAGGGGTGACTGACCCTTCAGCTGAGCCCACCCTCCCGAGGTCCACCTGTGGTGAACACACAGCAGGGGAGCCAGACTGGCTTGCAGCGGTGACCTCATGAGGCAGGCTGGGCAGCCACCATAGCTGTCCTAAACGACCTCTTGACCTCCCTCTGCCTGACCCTGGGCCGTCCCTCCAGGGGATTCAAGCCCACGTGGGGAGAGAGATGTGCAGAGCCGACTGTACTTCCACAATCGACTCCCCCAGGCTGCTCCCATCCCAGCCTCCAGCCTCCAGACAAGATGGAGAGCCCCACAGAGCCCCAGCCCCTGCTCACCAGGCCGCAGTCCACGCCGCTGGTGATAGTGTGCCTCCGACGTTCCCCTCGGGCACGGGGGGCCCGCCGGGCATCCCCTGAGTCCACCTCCAGGGCCCTGCAGGCCACTGCACCTATTGTGGAGAGGCATGGGCCTGGCTCACCTCCAGACCAGCCTGGCCAGGCTCTGCTGAGGTACAGCAGCCTCCACATCTCAGCCCACTCTTGAGGTCTCGGGCACCAGCCTGGCATGGCCCATGTGTAGCCTCTGTGCCAGGCTGGAGTTTGGTCCCTCTCCCCTGCCCCAGCTCCTCACACTGGTTTGAGGAGGGTTGTGCCGCCAAGCCCGCATGTTTGCTCATACACACGCCCTGCCCCATCGCTCCATGAGCTCCCTGGGGCCAGGGGCCTTGTCCAGCTCTTTTCTGCACTCCCAGTGCCCAGAACATCGCAGGCACAGCCTGGGTCTCCAAGGCGGCTGGGTAAGGGAGGAGTGGGCAGGGGATTCTGGTCCTGACTATGCCTCTCCCATCTGCACGGGGCCCTGCAAGGCAGCAAGAGATGTGGATGTGAATGATGGAAACCTAACTTTTCTCAGGATGGTCACTCTGATAGAAAGTTAGTCCTGCACGGCCGGGCACAGCGGCTCATGCCTGTAATCCCAGCACTTTTGGGGACCAAGGTGGGTGGATCACTTGAGCTCAGGAGTTCGAGACCAGCCTGGGCAACATGGCAAAACCCCATTTATTCCTTTTTTTTTTTTTTTTTTTTTTTTTGAGATGTTGTTTTGCTCCTGTTGCCCAGGCTGGAGTGCAATGGCATGATCTCGGCTCACTGCAACCTACGCCTCCCAGGTTCAAGTGATTCTCCTGTCTCAGCCTCCCCAGTAGCGGGGATTACAGACACCCACTACCATGCCCAGCTACTTTTTGCATTTTTTATTAGAGATGGAGTTTCACCATGTTGGCCAGGCTGGTCCTGCACTCCTGACTTCAAGTAATGCACCCACCTGAGCCTCCCAAAGTGCTGGAATTACAGGCGTGAGCCACAGCGCCCAGCCGACAAAACCCTATTTCTATTGGAAACACAGAAATTAGCCGGGTGCAGTGGCACGCACCTGTGGTCCCAGCCACTCGGGAGGCTGAGGCAGTAGGATTGGTTGAGCCTGGGAGGCAGAGGTTCCACTGAGCTGAGATTGTGCCACTGCACTCCAGGCTGGGCGACACAGCAAAACCTTGTCTCAAAAAAAAAAAAAAAAAAAAAGACCCTTGCCGGGCACGGTGGCTCATGTCTGTAATCCCAGCACTTTGGGAAGCTGAGGGCGGGGGGGATCAGTTGAGATCAGGAGTTCAAGACCAGCCTGGCCAACATGGTGAAACCCCGTCTCTACTAAAAATACAAAACTTAGCCCGGTGTGGTGACGGGCGCCTGTAATCCCACTACTCGGGGGGCTGAGGAGAATCGCTTGGACCTGGGAGGTGGAGGTTGTTGTGAGCCGAAATCGCGCCACTGCACACCAGCCTGGGCAATAAGAGCAAAACTCAGTCTCAAAAAAAAAAAGGAAAGAAAGAAAAGAAAAAATCAGTGGCTGGGCACAGTGGCTCACGCCTGTAATCCCAGCACTTTGGGAGGCCAAGGTGGGCAGATCATGAGGTCGGGAGTTTGAGAACAGCCTGGTCAATATGGTAAAACCCCATCTCTACTAAAAATACAAAAATTAGCCGGGCATGGTAGCGTGCACCTGTAATCCCAGCTACTCTGGAGGCTGAAGCAGGAGTATCACTTGAACCCAGGAGGTGGAGGTTGCAGTGATCCAAGATTCGTGCCACTGCACTCCAGCCTGGGTGACAGAGCAAGACTCTGTCTCAAAAAGCAAAACAAAAGAAAAGTTAGTCCCGCGTGTGTGGGATATGCCAGGCCATGCACCCAGCTGACAAGTCAGACATCCTGGTGCTTGAAGACACCTGCTGAGAAGTTTGTCTGAGGGCTCCCCCTGGGGGCAGCCAAGAGTATCACGTTGGTGCCACCCTGGCCCAGCTTCCTGGTGAGGGAGTACCTGTACCTCCCCAGTCTACAGGAGAAGTGGCTGCAGGTATGGAGGAGGGCATCCTCCTTCAGCCTTTAGCTGTGGCCCCAGCACCAGGCATATCCTTAGAGGCCATGCACCTGGCACCTGGCTACAGGAGTTGGGGGGTGATGCAAGAATTGGGCCCAGGTAGGCACGGCAGAGAGCCTGGCTCCACGCAGGCCTGAGTTCGTGCTCCTGCCTGTGGTGCTGAGTGGCTGGCAGCTCTGGGGCAAGACAGTGGGAGGGCACACAGCCCTTCAGGAGGTGGGAGCAGAGGGTACAGACAGAGGGAGGCCGTGGAGGAAGCCCCAAGACACCTGGGCCCGGTCTGTACAGTTGAGTCCATAGAGCAGCTCCCGGGTCCCTAGATGACAGCATGCTGGGTGTTGAGCTAGATGGGGGTGGTGGCTCTGCCTGTCCAGGGCCCTGAGCCAGCAGGCCGCACCTCCAGGGCCGGAGCCAGCCTGGAGCAAACACGCAGTCCCAGGTGGGAACAAGGAAAGAGGCCCCGAACTTCTGGGCTGGGGGCTTGGAAGGCTGTGTGTATTGGGAGGCTTTCTGGGAGTTGGGGTGACCTCAGAACTCCAGATTTGGCACCCCAAAAGTGAGCTGTGTCAATCAATCATGTCATGCCACTTGTCTGGCCCTCCGTTTGCCTGTGAGAGGGTGACAGCTACAGCCCAAGCCACATGACCTTCCGGGAGGTGTGGTACGTGAGCCAGTGCCACATGGGACATCAGAGCAGAGCAGGGGTGGACCACAGGCTCAGGCCTCCAAACCCCAGGCCCGGCCACTGCGTGCAATCCCATGGCTGATTTCAAATTGCATGGCCACATGGATGACACTGACCCTGCATTTGGAGCCAGCTACCCTCCGAAGCCTCCCTCACCATAGGACTGAGAGTCCCCCAGCCTGGTGCGGTTGCTGGATCAGATCACCAGGGAGCCCAGGACCACCGTGGCTCCAAACACCAGTTGTAGGGCTGGAGAATATGGCTGAGGTGGGGGAGCAGTACAGGGAGGGTGGCAGAGCAGCAGGCAGCACGGGGACTGGCAGGAGCCACCGGTGGGCAGGCCTGCCCCTGGCAGAACAGGTGCACAGGCTGAATGGGCTGTGGGGCCTGGGGCTCCTCTGGGAGCTTGGCCCCCACCCCTAGCCATAATGCAGGTCCTGTTCCCAAGGCAGGCACTGGGTTGGGGGAGACAGGGGACCATTCAGCAATCTCCTGTCACTGCCAACTGGACCGGAAGCAGGAGAGAAGTCTGCCAGCCATCCCCAGGGACTGTGGCCTATGTCCCTCCATGGCATCTGCCATAGTACAGCCCCACTGGGGTGCAGGAGACCCACCCACGCCCCTGCCCATCCTGGCAACAGGGCCAGGTCCTCTTGGGCCACCAGCAGCACCCGGCCTGCCTGGGCCTCAGTGGGGTCAGTGGGACCAGCCCCCCTGGCTGAGCTGTCACACTGAGAAGGGGGACCCTTTCTTTGAGAGGGAAGCACCTCTGCCTGAGCAGCCACAGACAGGAGGCTGAGGGCCCAGGTGTCCCCAGGTGCGGAAACGGTATTGGAGATGGAGAGCCCAAGCTCAGGCTTGGTACAGGTTGGGCTCCTGGTGGGTTTTCTGAGTCACCTGCCACCCCCGGGCCCTGGTGGCCTTATGCTGTGGCAGGAGAGGGTCTGGCTTGCCTCCCTAAGCCCCTGGGCTCACCACGACAGGCATGAAGCCCCTTTCCCTCCAGGCCCGCCGAGGCGCCCTCCAGGATCCGGAGTCCACGAAGAACCGCTCCCCAGCCCCGTCCCTCGTGGGAGATGCACGGGCAGCAGGTTTCCTTCCCCTGGAGGAGGTGTTCAGCCAGGGGAAGGAGCAGAGGAGAGCAAGAGGCAGAGGGAGCTGGTCACCAGAAACCGTGAGACTCCGGTTTCTGGCCCGGGCCCGGGAGAGCTACGAGGGGGCCCGGGGGCCGCTCGGAACTCACCTGCGTCCGCGCTGGAGCTCGGTTCCAACGCCGCGCTCTGGGACCGC